CATGCAGAAGCCAAAGAACAAATTGTGGGAGTCCGTTCTATCATCCCACCACATGGGCTCCAGGGATTGAACTCAGATCATAGTTCTGAGTTCAATCCCTGGAGTGCTTGGCTGCAAGCACATTTACCTGCTGCGCCATCTTGTTGGCCCTGCACATAGATTTTCTAGTTGGCATTTTGAAATAAATAGCTGACAAATATCTCCAACCCCTTTCTGCACCCTCTTTTGCTCTGGAGTCCTCTTGAGACTATTTTTTAATTGCATTTATTTGCTTGCGTGTCTGAATGTCTTGCCTACATGTATGTATGTTTACCACAAGCACACCTGGTGCCCTTGGAAGTCAGAAGAGGGCGTTGGATCCCCTAGATGGCTGCGAGCCACCGTGTGGGTGCTTGGAATCTGCAAGAGCGGCAAGGGATCCTGATGGCCGAACCATCTCTCCAGCCTTGAGACTTTATTTCTTGGACCTCAGATGGCAGCACCAGGCATTATATTCCCAAAGAGTGTATTAATTAACCTTTTGTTGGCATTCTTTAAATGTAAAAAGACAAACTTTTTTAAATGTAATTTTATCTCTGTTACTGTTTATTGGTTATATTCCTATTTCTTTTTTTTTTAAGTATTACATTTATTTGTGTTTTTTTTTTCTGTTTGTTTGTTTGTTTGTTGAGACAGGGTTTCTCTGTGTAGCTTTGCGCCTTTCCTGGGACTCACTTGGTAGTCCAGGCTGGCCTCGAACTCACAGAGATCCGCCTGCCTCTGCCTCCCGAGTGCTGGGATTAAAGGCGTGCGCCACCACCGCCCGGCTTATTTGTGTTTGTTCAGGAGAGGGCATGCAATGCCATGGTGTGCAGAGGGAGGTCAGAGGACAACTTGCAGGAGTCTGTTCTCTCCTTCTACCACATGGGTCCCAGGGATCGAACTCAGTTTACCTGGCTTGGCAGAAGCCAGTCTGTAAAGAAATGCTTTTTTTTTTTTTTTTTGGTTGTTGGTTTGGTTTTAGTTATTATTTGTTTGGTTTGGTTTGTTTGTTTTTGTTTTTTATTTGTTTTTTTGTTGTTTTTTTGTTGTTTTGTTTTGTTTTCCAAGACAAGGTTTCTTTGTGTAGCCCTGGATGTCCTGAAAGTCCCCCTATGTAGACCAGGCTGGCCTCAAGCTCAGAGACACCTGCCCCTGCTTCTGCCTCCCAAGTGCTGGGATTAAAGGTGTGTGTCACCACTGACCAGCTAAGAGGTGAATTCTTATTTGTTTTTAAGCAAGGTCGCAAGTAGCCCAGGCTAGCCTACAGGTCAATGCTGACCTTGAACGTTTTTTTCTTTAGTAATTTATTTTTATTTTATGTGCATTGGTATTTTGCCTACATGTCTGTCTATGTGGGGGTGTTGGATCCCTAGAGTTGGAGTTCCAGACAGTTATAAGCTGCCATGTGGGTGCTGGGAATTGAACTTGGGACCTCTGGAAGAGCAGCCAGTGCTCTTAACCTCTGAGCCATTTCTCCAGCCCCAAGAGATGAATTCTTAAGCTGTTTTATTGATGTCATAATAATCATGGGAGGGAAGAAAAGTCAAATTTACATATTGAAAATAGTGAGCGGGAGCTGAAGTTCTTCATAAGTTCAAGGCCAGCCTGGTCTACATAGTAAGTTCTAGGACAGGTAGAGCTACATAGCGAGATCTTGTCTTTAAAAAAAGAAAGGAAGGAAGAAAAGAAGAAAGAAAGAAAGAAAGAAAGAAAGAAAGAAAGAAAGAAAGAAAGAAAGAAAGAAAGAAAGAAAAAGAAAGAAAGAGAAGAAGAAAGAAAAGGAAGGAAGGAAGAAGAGAAAGAGAAAAGAAAGAAAGAAAAAGAAAGGGAAAGGAAAGAAAAGAAAAGAAAAGAAAAGAAAAGAAAAGAAAAGAAAAGAAAAGAAAAGAAAAGAAAAGAAACTGTTTGATTGGGCTTACAGATCCAGAGGGTTACAGTCCATGATGGTGGAGCAAAGGCATGAAGGTGGGAGCAGCTGAGCGTTTACAACTCCAACAGCAGCAAGCAGGAGGCAGAGCGCTCACTGGGAGTGGCTATGCAAGTCTTTTGAAACCTGAAAGCCTGTCCCCAGTGACACGCCTCCTCCACACCTCCACACCGAACCCATCCCCAAACTCCCACCAATGGGAAGCAAAGGTTCAAACATAGGGTGAGCCTTCGGGGGTCGTTCTCATTCAGACCACCACAAGGTATTTTAAATATCCTCTAGAGAGGCACCGAGACCTTATAGACATCTCACCATGTGATCATAACCCGGATGTGGTGTAGCAGTAACAGATAGCGAGTGCTCAGGTTCTGGGGGGTGGGGTATAGTTCTTCTCTTCTGGCCCTTTTCCATACACTCCTCCTCCCATCCACCTCGACCACTCAAGAGCCCTTCTGGCCCAGTGGGGCTGCCCCTGCTGGGATCTCCTGTTTAGCCACAGAGACAGCCTAGCTTCGGAGTGTTTTTTGGCTACTTTCACACTAAAATGACAGGGACCATGTGGTTTGGTCCCTTTCAGGAAGGTCTTGCCAACCCATGACTTGGGTGAATGTATAGGTAGAGACTGTCTCCAAGGTAATGAGCTCTTCAAACCATGAGATTGGATTATTAGCAGTTTATATTTTTTTTTTACTTTTCTATATCTCCATTATTTCCCTATAATAATCATGCACAGCTTTACAATAATAATAAAATGGAGTTTTTCAAGAGCTAGATGTGTAACTGTGTAATAGAATATTTACCATACATGCATGACACCCTGAGTTCAATGCTCAGCACCACAAAAAAAATTTAAGGTCATATTCAGGGATAGAGAGATGGCTCAGAGGTTAAGATCCCCTACTGTTCTGGCATTCTTAGAGGATGTAAGTTTGGTTCCCAGCATGTACACCATACAGCTGACAACCACCTGTAACCCCAGCTCCAGGGGATCTGAAGCCTCTGGCATTTGTGCGCGCGCACGCACATAAGAATGAAAAGTGAGCTGGAGTGATGAGTCAGCAGTTAAGGGCACTGACTCCTCTCCCAGAGGAACCATGGTTGTTGATTGTTTTGCTCCTTTGGGGGCCCGCCACCAGCTCACAAATAAATCACACATGGAGGCTTATTCTTAATTATAAATTCCTGGCCTTTAGCTTGGCTTGTTTCTAGCCAGCTTTTCTTAACTTTAAATTACTCCATCTACCTTTTGCCTCTGGGCTTTTTGCTTTTTTTACTTCTGTGATCTTACTTTCACTCTTACTCCGTGGCTTACTGGGTGGCTGGGTGGCTGGCTGGGTGGCTGAGGGGCTGGCCCTAGCACCCTCCTCTCATTGTTTTCTTGCTCCTTTTTCTTTTCCTCCCAGATTTCTCCTTCTATTTATTCTTTCTGCCTGCCAATCCCATCTATCCTTTCTCCTGCCTGGCTATTGGCCATTTAGTTTTTTATTAGACCATTAGGTGTTTGTTTGTTTGTTTGTTTGTTTATGGTTTTTCAAGACAGGGTTTCTCTGTGTAGCTTTGGAGCCTGTCCTGGAACTCACTTTGTAGCCCAGGCTGGCCTCGAACTCACAGGGATCTGCCTGCCTCTGCCTCCCAGTGCTGGGATTAAAGGCATGAACCACTAAACTCAGCTATGAAAATCTTTTTAAAGGAGTAGATTTCAAAGTCGGATTTTTTAATGAGTCTTTTTAAAAAGATTTATTTACTTTTACTTTATATGTGTGAGTGTTTTGCCTACATGTATGTCTGTGAACCACATACACGCAGTGCCCACAGAATCCACGAGGGGACATAGGATCCCCTGGAACTGGAGTTACAGACAGTTGTGAGCTGGGAATTGAACCCAAGTCCTCTGGAAGAGCAGCCAGTGCTCTTAACCATTGAGGCATCTCTCCAGCCTGGGGGGGAAAAATCAAGTTTTTGGGTTTTGTTGTTTTGTTTTTTTTTTTTGCTTGTTTGTTTGTTTTTGTTTTTGTTTGTTTTTTAATTACATTGCACAGTTACAAGAACTCCCCTGCACTCTGCCCCTTGTAGCAACTATGTCCCCAAGGGAGTTCCCTCCCAAAAGCTGTCATTAAGAGAAGTCAGCTCCAGAAGTCTAGAAGAATAAGATCTCAGCCCCACCTCCCTCCAGCAGGTCCAGGAATAGTCAGATTCTGGACCTCTCTGAGTCATAGCGGCATCCAACTAGCCATCAATAACCCACATCCCTACTCCCGGAGACTACGTGTGGCCCTAGGCCACATGAGGCTCTGATAAATGACACTCTGATACTTAGAGGTCCCACCCAGTGGGTACATATCTCTCCACAAAGTTGAGGCCAGACTCACTCCTCCCAGCCAGAAGCATCTGGCCAAGTCAGCTGCCTGGGAGTCCAACCACCAGAAGCTACTCGTCTCTTCTCTGTGTGTGTGTGGGGGGGGGGGGGCAGCTCAGTGCAGTGGCTGCAGGTGATGGTCGGATAAGAGTCTAGGAGTTCTGACTGGAGAGTGGGGCCTGAACAAGCCTCAGGGACTGAGAGAAAAGAGAGCAGGCCCACATCCAAGACTCTGTTTTGTTTGTTTTTGTTTTTCGGTTTTGGGGGTCTTTTTTTGTTTGTTTGTTTGTTTGTTTTGTTTTTTGAGACAGGGTTTCTCTGTGTCGTTTTGGTGCCTGTCCTGGATCTCACTCTGTAGACCAGGCTGGCCCCGAACTCACAGAGATCTGCCTGCCTCTGCCTCCCTAGTGTTGGGATTAAAGGCATGTGCCACCCCCACCGGGTCCAAGACTCTCTTAAGGTGGGACAGAATGCCCTCTGGCCCCCTCCACAGATCGCCTTAGGCAAGGGCATCATCATCCAGCCCACCTAAGGAATGAAGCTCCAAGAGGGCAGGTCAACCCTACACCCCACCCCACCCCCACCCCACCCCCGCCTCCAGCTCGGCAGAGACAGACAGGTGTCTTGGCCGTGTATCCCCACGAGTGCCTTCCGCTGGCTTCTAGAAGGGCTTACCTGCTCTCTCTGTATCCACAGGTGTATTCCTGCCCCCATCCCCAGCAGCAGCCAAGGAGCCAGGCGTGGAAGACATGGGGATGGTGGCCCTGGCCCCTCTGGCTGACATGCTGAACGGCCCACAGCTCGGTTCTGCAGCAGGCTCCCTTATCAACCCCCTGGCGGCCCCTCTCAACCCGCTGCTCTCCGGCCAAATGCCCTTGGCGCAGAACAGTCAATTCGCCAGTCTCGTGTCGTGCCCCCTGAGCAGCCACCTGACCAGTCCCCTTGCCGTCTCTCCAGGGGCCACCTTGGCCAGCTCTCTGGGCTTACCCGCGACTGGACCCCTGGGCAGTCACTTGGGCGGTCCCATGGCTGTCCCCCCTGGGACCAGTCTGGCCAGCTCACTGGGCCTGACCTCCACTGGCTCCCTGACGACCAACAGCCGGCTGGCGGGCCCCCTGGCTGTATCTCAGAGCAGCCCCCTCATGGCTCCCCTGGCGGGCACGGTGGCAGTCTCTCTGAGCAGCCCCCTCCTCTCCTCCACGGCTACCCCTCTAGGTGTTTCTCAGAACATTCTGCCCAACCCCATAAACAACCTAGCGCTGTCAGAGGCCCCAAGGGTGCGGCTAGCGGAGCCACCCCGAGGAAGCCTCTCCGGAGCCTCAGCCGGGGCAGGGCCAGCCACCGCCTCCAAAGGTAATTGGTACAGGGCGGGGCAGCGGGGCACCCCGGGTAGGCCAATTCCTGCTCCCATCCCGCCTCACTCTAACCCCCCTCCTCTCATTTCCACTCCTCCACATCACCAGTCACCGGTGAGCACCCCCAGCCGAGCCAGGACTCAGAGCCCCTCAACATGATGTTTGTGGGTGCGCCCCTCCAGACCTCCACCCCCATGAGCACCATGGCCACATCCGGTCCCACAACAAATTTCTATGCCGCCACGGATACCCGGACCCAAACTGGTGTTCTCCAGGGACAAATTACCCTCACCTCTGTCCCAAACTCCCCAACAGGCTCTCCTGCTTGCACAGTCCCCAACTCTTCCCCGACACCTGCCCCCCAAGGAGCTGGAAACTATTCCCCTTCAAGAAACTCCCCCACCAGGGCGCACCAGTCCCCTACCCGGCCCGTGCCCAACCCCCATTCTCCTCCACGCAACCCCCACTCCCCGCCCCGCACCTCATCCTCTCCGGCTTCAGTCAATGACACCCGCGGTTCACGCGCCGTGGAACAGTCTCGGAAGAGTATCCTGGAGATAGAGCGGAAGATGGCCCACCGCAAGTGTAACAAGTTCCCTGACAGTTCCCGAGGTCAGTAACACCACAGGGGCTCAACATTGAGTCTGGTACCCACTCCCCGATTACCCCCCTGGACTGCTAACCAGGGCCCTCCCATGCCCTTCGCTTGTTGCTCAGTTGAGGCCCTCTGTCACCTCCAGACTCAAAGCAACTAGCCTGGGAGAGGCTGGTGGGGGAGATCGCCTTCCAGCTAGACCGAAGAATCCTGTCCAGCATCTTCCCAGAGCGCGTGCGCCTCTATGGCTTCACTGTCTCCAACATTCCAGAGAAGATCATCCAGGTGTGTGGCTATCCATTTCCTACACACTGCCAGAGGGGCCTCCACGGATGGGCCAGGGAGCTCAGTACTAAGGGGGCCCGGCATTTAAGGGGACTCTGAAATGGACGGAGCCCGGGGCTCAGGGCAAGCAGCTGGCAAGGGTCCAGAGCATCTGGTCATGGGAGCCCATGAAGAAAGGACAGGGGGACCTTTCCTCAAAAGGGCAGGTGGCATTCCTCTTCTTGCCTCCAAGATGGCCTTTGAATGGTCAGCTCTAACCCCAGGGGCTGAGCCAGCAACCTAAAGAATTCTATGGTCTTCCCCTTCTGTATCCCCAGTGCTCACTGGGGACCACAGGGAGCACGGATCCTGGAGCCCCTGAGTAGGTGGTGGCAACATTGTTGCCAGAAGGCCTTGATGCCCCCGCTAATGTGTCCTTGGATATGACCACGAAGCCTCCTCCCTCTGACAAAAAGGAGTTAGATGTTTAAAAACAACACAAAACTAAGAAACAAGGAACTGGAGTGTGTCACCGCACCCCTGTGTCTTACGGGTGTAGATGGCACTGTAGGGGGGTGAGGCCTGGGCATGTGGGTCTGCACTTGGCTGGATACCCAGGAGAAGTTTGTTCAGAATTGTGTCACGTGGGACAGCAATGGTAGGGTTCCTATCCCTGCACAGAGGCCATTTGGGTCTCTGGGGGCGGGGGTTGGCTTCCCAATTGCTTGTTCTCTTACCATCATTGTGTACAGATCATACGTACCTGCCATCTGTGTAGGAACAACTTTTGACCACACAGGCCGATTCTCAGCATGCCTTTTCCTTGGCTAAAGTGTCCTTTGAATTAGATGCTTTAAAAAAAACAAAACAGGATCTCACTGTGTAACCCTGAATGGTGTGGAACTTACTTCGTAACTCTGTAGGCCAGGTTGGCCTTGAACTCACAGAGATCTGCCTGCCTCTGCCTCCCAAGTGCTGGGATTAAAGGGGTGCGCCGCCACTGCTTGGTTTAGATGCTTGGTTTTAATGTGTTCAGAACTGTCCGTCTTTGCTCATGTTGTGTGTACTGTCCCCTAGAGGGGCAGTGGTGGCACACAACTTTAATCCCAGCACTCAGGAGGCAGAGGCAGGTGCATCTCTGTGAGTTCGAGGTCAGCCTGGTCTACAGAGCTAGCTAGTTCCAGGATAGCCAGGACTACCCAGAGAATCCTTGTCTAGGAGGGAAAAAATCTTTCCCTAGCAGAAATTCCTTAAAATATTTTGTATTTCATAGTCAACATTTTTTTCCTAAGGGTTTAGGGTTTGAGTTTTCCAAAAACCTTAAAGATTGGTTTTTCTTTTATTTATGTGTATGTATGTATGGGGTGGGGGTGCTTGGTGTAGATGCTGAGAACCAAACTCTGGTCCTCTGGAAGAACAGCCAGTGCTCTTAACTGCTGAGCCATCTCTCCAGCTCCTAAAGTTTGGGGTTGTTTTTTTATCTTTACTTTTTGCATGTGTGTCTTTGTTTTGAATCTTTGGCTCTTCCATAAATGATTATGGCAGAAGTATAGGTAAGGTAGGGCACGTCCTCTCCCTAACATGAAAACCCCTAACTAACTCCAAAGACCACCAAGACACAGAGTGCCCATTGCATTAGGGTGACTCCAGGGCTAGAGGGGTAGGCCTTGGGACTGAAGGACGAGAGGAAAATGACGAGGAAACAGATAGCAGCAGAAAATGAAGACATTTATTTGAGGGGCACAGCCTATCTATGGAGATCTTTCTCACAGAGTTCACTAATGGGCCAGTCAGTGCAGACTCTCAGAGCTGCCAGGGCAAGGAAGGATGCCCAGTGCATGCCAGTATCCCTCTCAGACTTACACCTATGAGGGTTCTCTGGTCTGTCTGGTCCCAGCCTCCTTGTCCATTTATACAATGGCAGGACAGCAGTGTTCCTGGTTGCCAGTGGACAGCCATCAGCCAGAAACTCAGAAACTCAACCAAAGAGGGCCCAATGCCATAGCAACAGAGACCACAAGGTGCCCAGGGGTGGCTGACATTCTAAAGAGGGGCCTGGGCTATAGCTCAGGTGTCAGAGTGCCTTTATCTAGAATGGGTTAAAGCCCTGGATTTTATCCCATCACCTGAGTCAGGTTCCTCCTTGTTCTCTTATATTGTCTTAGCTCTTTCCTTTTCTGCTTGTTTTAAAATCTGTCCATCAAGTTCCAGAAAATTGGCCCAAATTTTGAGTTCGTTTATGGATGGAGTAAACAGATAATTTCCAGATTACAGTTTTTTGTTTTTTTTTTGAAACATGGTCTCATGTAGCCCAGGCTGGCCTTGAATTCACTTTATAGCCAAGGATGATGTTAAGTTTCTGAGACTCCTTCCTCTATCTCCAAGTCCTGGGATTAGAGGTGTGTCCCACCACGTCTGGTTTTATGAGATGCTGGACCTATCATAACAGCTTGTCTTCTGCCCAAGAGCCTCCAGGGTCTCTTTCAGACGCAGTGTCTCATTTTACCTCTAACAGCAGTGACCCAGAGACTCCCCTGCCTCCTGGAACAACTCAATTGAAAGCCACTCGCAGACAAAGTGGCCTCCTGGGGCCAGGTTGACACCCAGCCATACCCTTCTGTAGAGCCTTCTCCAGGCCAATTGGTATGGTGACGTTTGGAAATCATAAATTCACCTCCTGGCTTCAAGAGTATCCACCCACCAGGTTGGGCCTTCGGTTAAGTCATGCATCTGATTCCATTTTGCACAACTTTTATTTCCCTTTTTAAAAAAATATTTATTTATTATTTATTCATTTATTTATTATGTACACAGACAAGGGTGCCAGATCTCATTACATGGTTGTGAGCCACCATGTCGGTGCTGGGAATTGAACTCAGGACCTCTGGAAGAACATCAGTGCTCTTAACCTCTGAGCCATCTCTCCAGCCCTATTTCCTTCTTCAATGTGTCTGTTTTTCTATACTTCAGTGTCAGTGGTTAGAACCCCTAAATTCTACCCAGACCTGCTAAAACTAGTCAAACAGTGATTGTCCCTACAAGCCCCTTGCTTTCCAAGGCTGTACAGGTTTAGTGAGTTGAAGCTTTGATGGAGATTTTTGTTTGACGAAGACCCTGGCTTTTCACTGGCTGTCTTATTTTTATTAGATCATATAGTTACACTATACTTTGGTTTGGATTGGTTTTGTTGTTGTTAGTTTTGGGGGGGGGTTGTTTGTTTTTGTTTTGTTTTTCTCACTGTGTACCCCTGGCTGGCCTAGAGCTTACCATGTAGCCCAGGTTGGCCTAATACTTACAGTGCTCCTTTGGCCTCCTGATTACATAGATTAGAGCCACACATCACTATGTCCAGTATCACTGTGGTTTTTTTGTTTATTTGTGTGTGTGTGTGTGTGTGTGTGTGTGTGTGTGTGTGTGTACATGGTAAATGCATGTACCTTTAAGTGCCTGTAAAGGCCTGAAGTATTTGATCCCCTCAAACTGGCGTCTCAGGTAGTTGTGAACCAGGGCCCAACGTAAGTGCGGGCAGTCAGACTTTGGTCCCCAGCAAGAACAGTGCATGCTTTTAACGGCTGAACCATCTCTCCATTCTGGTTACGCTGTCTTTTAAACCCACCTAAAACTGGTTACAGAACTCTTGCCCTTCCTGTCCAGTTGTGAAGAGCTTTGTGGAAGGTGTTTGACGTGCCTTTCCTCTTCGCACGCTCATCTAGGGGCCTCCAGTCCAAACTGTGTCCACGTGAGAATTGACCAGGGCCGGGCAAGGGTGGCAGGTGGTGCCTTGGTTCCTCCTTGATGGTCTCCTGAGAACCATCTCATCTTTACGTACTGATTTGGTACCCGAACCGTCTTAAGTATCCAAGCACTCTTAGGCATTCTAATGATCTATCATCTGGATTTTTCTTGGTAACAATCATATTGCTTATCTAGACAGATATATACTCTTGACATGTAACCCAAGTAAGCTTCAACCCTACTGACCTCCTACCTAAACCTCCTGAGATGTCCAGCTTCTGTGTTATTTATTTTTTGTATGTTTGGGTTGAGACAGGTCTTGTTAAGTAGCCCAGCTGGTTTGGAACTCAGACTAGTCTCAAAACTTGCTGTGATCATCGTTTCTCTTCCTCCTGAGAGGTAGGATGCCTAGTATGCCCCATTGTGCCCAGAGAATGAGTGAATGAATATTTATTTACTTATTTACTTGTTGAGACAAAGCCTTGATGTATGTATATCCCTAGTTGGACTCATACTATGTAGCCCAGGCTAACCTTGAACTTGAGTCCATGTTCCTATCTTAGTCTCTCGAGTGCTGTAGTTACAGGTACAAGCCACTGGGCCCACCTATTCCTTTACTTTTTAAAATATTGGGCTGGAGAGAGAGGTGGCTCCATAGTTAGGCACATGTATTGCTCTTCCAGCGGACACAAATTCAAATCTCAAAATCTATATCTGGTGACTCACAAACACCTCTAACTCCAGCTCCAAGGGCTTCCAAAACCCCTGGTCTGTGTGGGCCCCTGCATTCAAATGTACATACTCACACACTGACGCATACATATAATTAAAAATAACAAGAATGTTTTTATTAATCTTTTAAAGATTTATTTATTATGTATACAGTGTTCTGTCTGCATGTGTCCCTTCAGGCCAGAAGAGGGCGCCAGATCTCATTACAGATGGTTGTGAGCCACCATGTGGTTGTTGGGAATGGAACTCAGGACCTCTGGAAGAGCAGCCAGTCTCTGAGCCATCTCTCCAGCCCCTTTTTATTAATTTTTAAATAAAGAAAAATTAAATATTGACATATGGAACTGATACATAAAAACATAAAAATCAGGGCTTACAGGTAGCTCAGCTGGTAGAATGCTTGCCTAGCCCTTCTACCTAAACCAGATGTGGCGCTATAGGCCTCCAGTCCCAGAACACAGGATACAGAAACAGGAGGATCAGGAGCTCAGGGTCATACATAGCTACCTAATAAGAGTCTATCTCAAAAAAGAAAAAAAGAAAAACCAAGAACAGAACAAAACATGAAATCATCCCTCTTAATGGGATGCCATCTGATATGACACATACGTACACACATTGTGTAATCAGGTCACACATATATTTCTACTCAGATCTTTTCAGTTTTCTTTTTTCTTAAGATTTATTCTATTTTCAACTATGCATAGCCTGTGTGTGTGTGTGTGTGTGTGTGTGTGTGTGTGTGTGTGTGTGTGTGCAGGCACCCTTAAGGTCAGAGATGTCAGATTCCCTGGGAGCTAAACAGACTTCGAAGTTATGAGTCACCTTGACATGGGTGCTGGGAACCAAACTCAGGTTCGTTTCTTCCTTTTTTTTTTTTTTTTTTTTTTTTTGTGCTCAGTGTCAAAGCCAGGGCCTTGTGTGAATGCTAGTGTTCTACCAAATCTCAATTCTTTCCTCATCACGATTACATTGGTACATCTTTTTACAACTTATATAAAGCAGTAGATCCCACAGGCAACCTTTCCTTCATCTCTCTGACAAGAACGCTAATCTCCTCATTGTACTCCCACCTACCTGAAAGGTTCTTAGACAAATCATCCAGTGTTCTTGGTTGCAAACAACAACTGATGCAAACAGATATGGATTTATTATAATATTAAGGTCCTCAGCTCCAGGAAGGATACAAGATTGCATTTGTTTGCTATTCTGCCCAGAAAAAAAATATTAACACAACAAGAGACCTTCCTAGTGGACACACCATGGGTACCAGCCCCAAGACAGCACATAGATACCCAGTCAGGTGTCCCCCAGTTGAGTACAGCTGTCCCTGAAGAACCAGTGCCATACCCATGGTACTCCCTGGAGACCTGCCAGCCTTCTGTGTGTAAGCGCCTCTTCCCACGTGGAAGTCCCACCTGCCTGTCTGCATCCACTTGCTTGGTAGAAACGTAGGTACCTTGACTACAGAGGGATGTTGGGAAAGGTGGTGTTCAGGAAGACCTTCCGGTCCTGTTAGAACAGCAGCGTCTGTCATTCCAGGTTAGGAGCTTTCCATGAACTCTAGGGAAAGCCTGCAAGCTCTGAGGTCAGGCAAGCTGGGAGTATGAGGACCTCCCTGTGCCTCCATACTGGAAGTCATGCTCCCTGACCTCCATCCCTGGTGGCTTTACCCTAATCTCCTATATCTGGTACGGGACAAACAATGGGATGGGTGTCTCCGGAAGCTTTGGGAAGCCACTGGGCCTGCCTGAGTTGGGTTTTGGGTGCCTCGACCTCAGGCTCAGCCACAGCTTCACCTCCTTCCCTCTGCATCCTCTTAGCGATACTTAACAATTTCCTTCCCTCAGCCTCTCTTGCCCCTGTTCTTCCTGCCTGCCTGTGATCCAAAGTGGTATGGGAGGTTCCTGATGGCCACTCTCCCAACAGGCCTCCCTAAACCCCAGTAACCACAAGCTGGATGAGGACCTATGCCAGACACTCACACAGCGCTATGTGAGCATCATGAACAGACTGCAGAGTCTGGGCTACAATGGACGGGTGCATCCGGCACTGACGGAGCAGCTGGTGAACGCATACGGCATCTTGCGCGAGCGGCCTGAGCTGGCAGCGTCTGAAGGCGGCTCCTACACTGTGGACTTCTTGCAGCGTGTGCTGGTGGAAACAGTGCACCCCAGCATGCTCACTGATGCTCTCCTGCTGCTCTCCTGCCTTAACCAGCTGGCCCATGATGACGGCAAACCCATGTTCATCTGGTAACTGGGGTGCCCGGCTGGGCCCAGGCTCACTTCGCCCTGCAGGCCATTGTAGATGGCCATTAAAGTTTCCCACAGACACGAGTCACTGGGCCCATGCCACACCTACCTGCTCCTGTAGGGGTGCCTCACTAGGTACATTCAGTCTTGTCAGCCCTGCAGGGCCACATTCACATTACAGGACCCTAGTGAGACCTCTCAGATCAAGGCTCGGACACTGTCTTTCTGAAGGGATTGAATGGAAAGTTCGCTTTTCTTTCCCAAGTTCCCTTTCACTTGATAATGAAAGCAGAAGTCCTGGGAGAGGGGAGAAAAAAAAAAAAAAAAAAAAAAAGAACAGGAACCGGGAAGGATGACACACACAGAAGATCTCCAGTGATAAGCAGAGGCTAGGGGTGGGGAGCTTCCGAGCCTTGGGGCGGAAGGACAGCCAGGTGCCGCCTCATCCAAACCTGGGCAGGGAGCCAGGGAGATGACAGCCCCTTGCAAAGATGTCCCAGGTCTGGGAAAATGATAGGTCCTATCTAAGCATGGGGGGTTCAGAGCTGGCCAGGGAATAAAGAACATGGGTTGGAGAAGCAGGATGGGGTAGAGAAAGGAGGAATGAGGGACTCATTTGGAGTACTGGAATCAAAGTGTAGCCTGAGATTGGAAAGGCTGTGGTAGGACTGGGAGAGTGTAGACCAAGAATGGGTGGGTTCATAAAAGGGACAGTGGGGAAAAGCCTAGAATAGCTTCCGGCTTGCCTGATGGTACAGGTGCCAGGCTAGGACAAGATGGAAAAGAAGCTGGGCGGTGGTGGTGCACACCTTTAATCCCAGCACTCGGGAGGCAGAGGCAGGCGGATCTCTGTGAGTTCGAGGCCAGCCTGGTCTACAGAGTGAGTTCCAGAACAGCCAGGGCTACACAGAGAAACCTTGTCTTGAAAAGCCATCAAAAAAGGAGGGGGGGAGGTGGTAAAAGAACCAGGGTCTTAGAAAACTACTCCTTACCAGTCAAAACACAGAAGAGCCTTGGGGTCTGAATTCAAACAAGAATCTTATCCGTACCAATAAAAACTCTAGGAACAGAGAGGCGTGGAGTTGTTGAAGTCTTCCAGTTGAATACTCAGGCCCCATTAGGGCTTATCACCTTCTGCCCTGACCACTCCCGTCAGAGAGACTTTGGGAACCCAGCCAGATAGCTTATTAGCAGTCGCCTCATCGAAAGTGTCTCCACAACTATCCTGGCAACCTAGATGAATACAGGTAGCCAAGACAAACCTGATGGACCACTTAAGAGACACTTAGGGTTGACATCAGGGTGGATGCTGGCTCACAGCTGGAATTAGGGAGGCAGACTTCCAAGGGAAGCAGAGAAAAGTCCTTGAAAGCCAAGAGAATGTAAGAGCCTAAAGTTAAGCTGGGCAGTGATGGCACAGGCCTTTAGTCTCAGCACCTGGGAGGCAGGGGTGGGTGGATCTCTGAGTTCGAGGCCAGCCTGGTCTACAGAATGAGTTCCAGGACAACCAGGGCTACACAGAGAAACCCTGTTTCTGTAACACACAAAACAACTAAAGTCAGTGTTAGAGAGCTCATAGAATGGGGAACCTTCTTCTACCTGGCTCATGTGTCCGGGCAAGCCTCCTTAAAGTGTAGGACTTAACGGTCCCTCCCCCGACTTGACGCTCCCAAGTCACAGCCACAACCCTCGCGAGCCATTGGTGTTGGGTATTTGCGCTCAGGCGCCAGGTACAAGCACCTGCCTGCGGTGTAGCCAGACTGTAAGGCTTATTGGAGGTGGGGTGGGGAAGGCTAGGCAGGCAGAAGGCGGGGCCCTAAGTTCCTCTCAAAGCCCTAAGTGGACCCACAGCGAGAGGAGTGCAGTGGGCGGGGCTGTGAAGCCCGGGTTCTTTTTTTTTTTTTTTCCCTTCCCAACCGCCACCGAAGTTCTGAGTGGGTGGGGCCAGTGTCCAGAACTCAGGCTCCTGGGGCACAGGTCCTTACTGTGCGGCACGGCACGCACAGGTTGTGTGTGCTACCTGGTCTTGACCTCCTGCAGCTCGTGCGGACTCTAAAGGATACAGCTCTCACGCTGGGAAGGAATGAGTCTCCCTGACGTTTCGCAGCGAAGGAGTTCTGTGCGCCATGAACCCTCCCTCGACTGGCCCCCGACACCCGACGCCCTGAGGCCTTCACCCTTCCCGCACCCCGCGCTACAAGCCCTCAACCGCCTATGCCTCCTGCTGCTCTTCCCAGCCTACTGGTCTCTGGACCAGTTGCTGGGCTGCTGGGCACCAATGGCCCGATCCAGCAGCTTGGGGTGGCTCAAAGTCCTGGCAGGAGGTGGGGCGGCGTTCCTATCGCTGATGGTAGTTGGCCTACCCCTGGGGATGCTTGGCCTTGTGCTCTGGCTGCCCCTCCAGGTCTGCCGCCGCCCCTTCTGCTATCGGCCCCCTCCGGCCTGCTGGGTGTGGCCACAGCCCTGGCACCCGCCTGCGGAGCGCGTGCGCTGCTTTGTCTTTTTCACTGCCAATCTGTGCCTGCTCCCTGATGGGCTGGCACGCTTCAGCAACCTGTCGCACAGCCAGCGGCGTGCGGAGGCCATTGGCGCCGTACTGCTAGGTAGCCTTCGAACCTCACAGTATGGGGCTACCGGGTGCAGCCAGCCGCTGTCTGAGGTGCCTGGTGGTGTGCTGAGGGCCACAATACCCACGGGTTTGGACTTCGTGTGCCTGCAGGAAGTGTTCGATCTCCGCGCAGCTCATCGTCTTGTGCGCGCCTTGGGGCCAAATCTGGGCCCAGTGCTATATGATGTGGGCACATTTGGCTTACTGCCCGGGCCGTACTTCAAGGTACTGGGCAGTGGGCTTCTACTAGCCTCGCGCTACCCGCTGCTGCGTGCCACCTTCCGTTGCTTTCCTGATGCTCGTCGCGAGGACGCCATGGCCTCTAAAGGTCTACTCTCTGCCCAGGTACTAACAGGGTGCATGCAATGCACTCTAGCAGGGAGGGGGTAAGCAGTGGATCTAACAAGCAAGAAGAGCTGGAACTGTGGGTGGTGTTGCAGGCACAACTGGGTATCCTGGACGGGCGCCGAATCGTGGGATACCTTCATTGCACACACTTGCAGGCACCCGCTGGTGAGCTCTGCAGGAGGGGTGGTTGGAATGCCCTCTTCTCACCTTTGAGGGCAGTAGGTCCCTAACCTCACCAACACTTTTGTCCCTACGTCCCAATGTTTTCTGCCCCAGACATCCCAAGCAATGCCTGGGTGGGTTTACAGATCAAGACCTGGGTATGGTCTTGGGTCCCCACTCTGGGCTAAGCCAACCCCAACGCTCCCTCTTAGAAGACGGGCATATTCGCTGCAAACAGATGACGCTGCTGCTGGAATGGGTGGAGGAGTTTGAGGCTGAGAGCCGCCACAGTGGTGAGGCTGTAGCCTTCAGCGTCCTCCTGGGAGACCTAAACTTTGACAACAGCTCACGAGGTGAGAAACTGGGGGCGGGTGGAGCAGAGAGACCCAGCTCTGCCTGCTAAGACGCGGTTTTCCTCTACAGATCACGCAAAGGAGCAGGGACACAAACTCTTCAGCTGCTTCCAGGACCCCTGCCGGCTAGGCACACGCCAGGAGCAGCCCTGGGCCTTGGGTACTGCTGCTGCTGTGGAGGCAGGGAGAGCAGGTCTGTGGGATCCCCATCAGCGAGGACCCCCACTGATTCCACTCTCGCTCTCCCCCCTGGCTCCGCAGGGACGATCCTGAGCAATTCCATGCTACACCAGGCCACTGCCAGCTCCCCAGAGATGCTTCGGAGGTAAGTCCAAGGAGCCCGGGCACTGTTAAGCAGGCCAGCTGGGAGGATCTACCCCAGCCTCAGTGACGCTGTCCCTCTCCTAGGGCCCTGGAGGAGGAAAAAGGGCGCCGCCTCTACCTGGCAGGATGTAGAAGTCACTCCAGTAAATCCTGGCAGGGCCGGCGCCTGGACTACATCACCTACCGTGGAATACCGGGCAGTCGCCTGAGTCCAGTAAGTGCCTGAGCTGGGGGGCAGTTAGGCTTGCTCAGACTGAAAGCAGCTCTCAACCTGATTCCTGCCCCGTAGGAGGTGGAGCAGGTGACTTTCAGTACAGCGCTGGCTGGGCTCACGGACCACTTAGCTGTGGGCTTGAAGCTTCAAGTTGTGTGCTCCTGACTGAGGCTGGCGCACACAGTGATGACCGGCGAGAAGGACCACCAGGAGGAGCCGATCCCAATAACCGTGCACCTCGGAGGATCTTTATTGTGAGGCTCTCACACGGCTTCCTGGGCACGGCGATACTCATAGACACTGCCGCGCTCTGGGAAGGCTGGGAATAGTGGGGGCGAGCCTGGTGGTGGCGTTGGGTCCTCCGGGTCTCCGTAGCCCCCACCGCCAGGCGTGTGAAGGCAGAACACGTCCTGTGAAGAAGAAAGAGCAGGTTCAACACAGCTGTGGCCTTATCCCAGTAAGACAAGCAACCACTCGGGATCACAGAGGCCACTAGACAGCCACCCTATTTTAATTTGGAGCCAAATTAAAATTTTGCATCTTTGTTCACGACACAGGCTGCGTCTCTTACCCCAGGGTACACGGTCACAGATGTCTTCCCGCCCAAATTCACCGTGCGTCCATCCTTTCTGATCAGGAGGTTTAAACCTCGAGCACCAGGCTCTCCCCCTACAGGAGGAGGAAAGAAGAAACTGGGAGTCAGGGGCGGTAGGGGCAGGAGTTGGCCGGGAAGGGCTGGGTGGGGAGGTACCCACCGTGGAGGCCATAAGGCTGAAACGCCCGGCGCTCGGTAAGCACGGACAGCAGCGCCTCTTCCCGAAAGACCAGCTCTCGGATGACGCCATCACCTCCCCGGAAGCGACCTCGGCCCCCAGAGCCTGGCCTCAGCTCAAAGCGCCGCAGGATAACTGGGTACCTGTGCAGGTGGAGGGCACAGCGCAGATGAGCGCGGACTCGCCACCCAGATCACCTGCCTAGCACTGCGAGTGCTCAGCTCACCGGCTCTCCAGGATCTCCGGGTCCGTGATGCGTGTGTTAGTCATGTGACTGTGCACACCACTGCGCCCATGCCAGCCAGGTCCTGCGCCCGCACCCCCAGCCACCGTCTCGTAGTACCCCATACGGGCATTGCCCAGGGTCACGTTGTTCATGCAGCCCTGACAGAAGCAGATGACAGCATTTTGTTAATGTGGGCATCAACCCCCACCACCCCGTTTACCAGCAACCCCCAAGACCTTTGCTCCATCACACCTGGGAGGCTGAACAGGCCCCAAAAGCTCCCAGAATGACGTCCACCACTCTCTGAGATGTGAGCACGTTGCCACCCACCACGGCTGCCTCTGGGGATGGGTCCAAGATGGAGGCCTTGGGAATTATTACACGCACAGGAGCCAGGCAACCCTGGTGAATGAATAGAGCGATTCATTCGGGCTGGGTACCACCTAGATTCAGATAAAAATTCCACCACCCTAGGCTCTGTTTTATCAGGCTGCCTTTGTCTTCAGGCGAACCTCAGGGTGAGCCCAGACGTGTGCTGACCTCACAGCACACCCCTACGAACCTGGTTAAGTGGGATGTCACGGCCCACGAGACAGCGCAAGCAGTAGATGAGGGCAGACAGCGTTATGGCCCGCGGGGCGTTGAGATTGCCAAACACCTCGGACCCAGAACCGCTGAAGTCGAACACTGCGCTGCCCTGCCCACGAGGAGGAAAGGTGTGGCTGTGGGCAACCGGCGTCACCCCAGAGGCCGGTGTCGGCGCTCTCCCCACCCGCCTCACACGCTAACCTGACTCAGGTTGATCTGAACGCGCAGGCGGATAGGAGAGCCGTCATCCATGTGATCCTCCGCAGACACCTCAAGGGGCAGGCCCCGGACCTGCCGGGAGGTTCCAAAAGCCCGAAGCATGTCTCGAACTGCTAGTTCAGCGTTTGCCTAGCAGGAAAAAGGTTCAGCCCAGCCATGCCACCTGCAGGGTGGCCCAGCTACCTTGGAGCAGCCACAACACTGCCCCATGGATGCTCCTGTTCCCAGGCCCACCTGAATATGACCCATATAGGCCTGCACCACATCCAAGCCATACTGCCCGATCAGCTCTCCCACCAGCTGGATGCCCTTCTGGTTGGCTGCCACCTGGGCACGAAGATCCGACAGGTTGTCATGCAGGTTCCTGGTTCCACTACAGCCAGAGATCTTGCCCGGGGCCCGCAGGGCCTCTGTCACCGCTGGATGGACAGGGTCACAACTGAGTCACCTTCCATGTCCTCAGGAACAGGTGCCCGTGCCTGTCTGTCCCACACCCACAACACACACACACCCACTGGGCCCTGGGAGAACCCTATTGACCTCCCTGACCTCCCACCTCCCCCGTTGCGAACTCCTGGACTCTGAAGACAAAGGACAGGCTCCATCCTTCTGCTGAACCCTCTTCTTCAGCCCAGCATCTGGAGCACCTTTGGCAAGCAGCAGGGCCAATGGCTTTGCTGGAGCCGGAGGAGGCTTGGGAGAGGGTGGGTTCCTCCCTCAGCAAGCTCATCTCATCTGTCTACCTTTTCTAGGCTCCCCTCTACACTTGACAGGAAAAAGCCTCCCTGACACACACCCCACATGCACCTTGTCCTGTCTGCCCTATGTCCTGCCCACTCCCACTGGCCTCCTGTACTTCAAGAACATAAGGCACCACAGGGCTAGAGACATGCTCAGCAGTTAAAGAACCCATGATTCTCTTTGAGAGGATCTAGGGTCCGTTTTCAGCACCCACACAAGGGGCCTCGTAACTGCCTGCAACTCCAGTTCCTAAGGATCATATGCTCTCTTCCGGTCTCCAAGGACACCCGCACACATGTGATGCACATACACGCCCTCAGGCAAACACATACACATAAAGACTGTCAGGCACCTGTCATTCTTGTCCTCTTCCCGCAGTTCCCTACATCTAGACAAGGTTCCCCTCGCACTCCAGGGACTCGACCACACCAGGGGGAACCCTTCTCTTTCCAGTCTTGGTCATGGACTTCTCTGAGGTCTACCGGCCACTTGTACCCTCAGCCACGTGTTTATACTTGTGTCTCCATGATCCACCTCAGCTCCCAAAGATCAAAGTTATCCTATGTGTCTGTGGCACCCGGAGCGGCCTGTGGCTCTGTTACCCCCACCTCTACCATGCCCTTATCCCCTCAACTCCAAGAATTGCTTTTTGAGTTCTCAGAGCCCTGTGACCTCAGGAGAGGGCTGTCTTTTCCAGTGCCTCCATCTTGCCTGCAGCTGTTCTCTGCTGTTCAGTGCGGAGCCTCCGACCTGTAGCTACCCAAACCGGACCCTACAATCTCCACATGGTACCGCTTTAGTTCGCAAACAGTTCCTTCCACACTCTACCACCTGGATCGCCACCGTCTTTGAGGGTGACTCCAGCTGTCACATCTGACCACTCTGCCCACCCTCAGGGTTACTCTGCAGATGGGTGTGCAAGCAGACCAGGACAGCTCCAGTTGCTCCACTGCCCAGTGACTGGGACCCAAACCCAGACAGGGAACCCTGTAGCCTCAGTACACGGTGTAGCTTGTAGCAGTTGCCAACCTTGGAAACTACCTCTCCCTTCTGCCCCTTGGGTGTCTTGGCCAACTCCCCACCCCAAAAGCATCTTCCAGGAGGCCCTCTTTGGTCCAGACATAAGTCATCTCAGCACTTCTGCAAAGCTGAGATGATTCCCAACTGCCCCGAGAGGTCACCACTTGTCTCTGGCAAGCCTCAAGGCAGGCCTGAGCTGATATATCAGGATGTATCAGCTGTGGACCGGGATCCTGCCCAGCCTGGTTCCTGGTAGCAGCCATGCATCCCTGCCTGCTGAATCCTCACGGCGACCCTTCTCCAGCTCACCCTCTTCCTGGAAGACGCCTCCCTGGACCAGTTTGAAGGACAGAAAAACGGCCCCCTCCTGTTGCAGGGCGGTAGAGTGAGGAGGCATAGAGCCCGGCGTGATGCCTCCAATGTCTGCGTGGTGCCCCCGGCTCGCCACGTAGAACACGGGCCGTGTCTGGCCTGGCCAAAACACCTAGGGGGTGAACAGTAACTGTCAGCGGCACCGGAAACCTCTGTCCCTCTGATAGTAGCCCAGGTAGCACTCCTCACCGGGGTGATAACCGTCAGGTCCGGAAGATGGCTGCCCCCTGCACTGGGATGGTTGCTGAGCAGCACGTCACCAGGATGCAGGTCAGCACCTAAGTGCTGAATCTGAAATCAGAAGACACAGACAGAGTGGAAAAGGAAAGTGAAGTCATGGGAAAGGGAGGGGGCAGAAAGGAAAAATGTCACCGTCACCACACCTGGAACTGTACAGTCTCCTGCATGGCGCCCAGATGCACAGGAATGTGGGGCGCATTGGAGACCAGGCCCCCATCAGGCCCAAAGAGGGCACAGGAGAAGTCAAGGCGTTCCTTGATGTTGGTGGAGATGGCTGTGCGCTGTAGGATTCGGCCCATCTGCTCTGGGGGCACAGAGTAACCAGGTAGCCCCATCACCCACATGTATAGGCCCCAGGAAAGAGAGGCACAGGACCCACAGGGTCAAGGCCTTCTGTGCTCCAACCTAGCAGCTTTTCCTGTGCCCCGGGGAAGACCAGGGTGGCGGCACACCTCCTTAGGCAGTGAGGCCGTAGCCAGGTGTATGCTAGCTTATGAAAAGAGCGTTCTTTCCAGCCTGCCTGGGGTCTCTCTTCAGCTTTCCTCCCTGGCTGGTGCATCAAGAACCTGGTCCCCAAGCTTAGACCCCTGGGCTCCTGAGAGCCTCCCGCATGACTCTGAACAGATGAGCTCACAGTGGATGCCCAGTTTCTATCCCTAGACAGCTGAAGATCACATGACTTCTGATGAGACGCAAGTACTTGCCCTGTGCGAGGCCTGCTCTTGCAGCATGGAGTACGATTTCAGAGCCCAGGCCATACTGCTCACCCCACCCCAGCGAGGCTCCTGCCCTTCCCCTTGGCACACACTTGCCGGGTTACCACACGTAACAAGAGCCAACGCTACCCTTCTCGTCTGTACTTTTGCCTGGTATGCACTCCCCCCCCCATGTCCTACATCATGCATGCATGCCACCCTATCACATATGCACTACAAGGAGGACAGCGGTGCCCACTCACCAGCAATGCTCATGAAGCGGTGTGAGAAGATGGACAGCTGGATGGGGTCCAGTTTGGTGCCCGCCATGCTGGGAGACTCAGCTCCCACAGAAATACGGATGTCCCCTGTCTCAGTCACCTCTGCTTGGCAACCTGGTTCTACCAGGATGGTGCTGGGGGGCAGGGGACACAGAGGAGCTACAAGAAGGCTGGCCAGGGAGGTCACTACTCCATGCCAGGAGATACCCCAGCGATGGAACCCCGGCAGCCCTGAGCCAAGGGCTCTGCTGTGGAGGGTCCTGCAACACCCCCTTCCAAGGCTAAGCCATCCCAGGCTTACCTGTTGTTGTCGATGATAAGGCAGGGCCCCTGGAGCTGGTGCCCATAGCCCAGCTCTCCTAAAAGGTACACGGGGGTCTCCTGATAACCCCCCTCAAAGTAGCACTGGGTCACCTGCAGAGGGTGTGGAATGAGCTGGGCTCCTAGGTCATCCTTCCTGAGGCCCTCAACATGGCTAGGCCTCCCCGTCAGCACTGAGGATGTAGGTGGACCAGCACAGCAAAGCCTCCAACCTTGTCCACCCGCGGGGGTCCACTCTGGGCTTTGCGGGTGTCCTCCAGCCGAAGTCCACTACGGCCAGTCCCCCTCACTCGCACATCGTCTACCACCACCGGCCGCTCAGGAATGATGAAGCCGAACTCTCTCATGTACCTGTACCCACCCATCCAAGGGAGCCATCAGAACAAGGCAGCGGGACCAGCAGGCCCCATGCTGGACTCACAGAAGGGCGCATATACCTCTCAACAAAGGCTGCTCCAAAGTCGCCAGCCCGGGGTGAGCGGGCTGTGGCCGGATGCTGATGGGCAGACACCATCAGGGCACAATCAGTGCCTTGGTAACGAAGATGCAGGAAGCCCTCAGTGCTGATCTGAGACCTGCAGGAAGCAGGTTGGGCTACTCACTCAGTGCCTTCTGAGGATGCCCGCCCTGCTTTCCCCAGGCACTCTGAGACCATTGTCCTGAAGACCCAGGAACATCTGGTAAGACATCCAGGGGTACACCACCAAGCGGGTGGTAGAGATAATGCCAGCCCTGTGTTCAGGGGTCCATGACTCTACCTAGGGAAGCCCTGGGCCAGCAAGGCGTCCACACACTGCTCCTCCAGGCGGCTCAGTCTCTGGTCCAGTTGCACAAAGGTTTCGGGTGTGTAAGACAGGGAACAGGGCTCCTGGGCTTCATGGACCACATCTGCCAGGGCCAGTCCCAGTGCCGACAGCAGCCCGCTGTGCCTGCAGACATGGGTGACAGAGAAGTGTGGGGACACTCTTCAGAGTCACCTCCCCCAGCTAAGGGCACACGCGCCTATGCAGACCCACCTGTGAATATGCACAGTGTCCATACCCAGGGCCCGGGCTATGGCACAAGCATGCTGCCCACCAGCTCCTCCAAAGCAGGCCAGCACGTGGGCTGAGGGGTCATGGCCTCGTGCCTGGTGATCCAGGAAGGTCAATAAATAGTCTTTCCTACCTGGGACAGGCCCCCCACCCTATCCCATTTCTGTTGGGCTGAGAGAGTGTGGGAGCAGGGCTAGGACAGACAGGGGGTGGTGGGACATGGGGGCGGGGCATACCTGTGTAAGAGCACGGATAGGCCGGCACATGGCTTCATTGGCAACACGCACAAACCCCATGGCCACCTCCTCCAGACTTAGCGGGGAAGCTGGGCAGGGTCCATTGGTCAAGAAGCTGTTGACCTCAGTGGCCACAGCCTCTAGAGCCTTTCGGGATGCCTCTGGGGACAGCGGCTGGTCTTCTCCTGGTCCAAAAATGCAGGGGAAAGAGGCAGGCAGCAGGCGACCCAGGACCAGATTGGCATCTGTCACAGTCACAGGACCCCCTGGGAAGGCAGCACAGAGTGCGGGTTGGGGGCTAGAGGAGCAAACCGGATGTGGGCAGCAGGCATGGAGACGAGGAGTGGAACAGGCCTGGAGCACCAGGAGGAGAGGCCTGGCAGAGCAGAGGCTAGCTCTTACCTTTGCGGTAGCAGGCAGGACCTGGGTGAGCACCTGCTGACTCTGGCCCAACCACGAAGAGGCCGGACCTTGGGGAATAAAGGACTGGAATTAGAGGGGGGAAGGAGGAGAAAGCTGAGGGGTCCCGACTGGAGAGAGAGGCGCTGACCTGAAGAAGAGGCGGGAACCCCCACCAGCGGCCACCGTGTTGATGTCCAGCTGGGGGGCCTGGAGGGTAACCCCAGCTGTGCTAGCCTCAAAGACATGCTCAAATTCTCCAGCATAGCGGCTCACATCTGTGGATGTGCCTAATGGGGATGAGATGCCAAGAGTCACCCCGAGACCTGCGTCCCCAGCTTCATCCAGCTAGGCGGCTGGGTCTTCCCTCACACACTCCCTTCCTACCTCCCATGTCAAAGCCAATGACGGGCTGGCCACCTTCCAGCTGGTAGGTAGTGGCTGAGTAGCCAACCACACCTCCGGCAGGGCCAGAAAGCACAGCCCTGGAACCACTGAAGGCCTCCATGGGTGCCAGGCCACCATCAGAGCGCATGAAGAGTACTTGCACATCCTGTGAGTGGAGAGAATGGACAGCAATGTGCCGGGCAAGCGAAGGGCTCGGGCCTGGGGCAGGGTGGTCAACCGGCCCTCACCTTTAGCTGGCCCTGGAAGCCGCGGCTGAAGCCCTGCACATAGCGCTGGATGGTGGGAGTGAGGTAGGCGTCAGCGCAGGCCGTGTGCCCCCGGGGAACAATGCGCACCATGGGCATGGCTTCCGAGGACAAGGACACGTGTGTGAAGCCCAGCTCCCGGGCCAGGGCGCCCACCTGCTGCTCATGCTGGGCCCACCTACAACGAGAACGCCGGGAGCTCTGTGCTTCCCACCCGACACCCTTCCAGCTTTCCCCTGGACCGGGCCCCCCACCACCACCATGACCGCCCCCCCCCCCCAATAAGCAGCCCTCACTCACGTGTACGAATGCATGAGCACCACCGCCAGACTGCGGATACCCCGAGATAAGAGCCCCTCCAGCTTCCCACGCAGGGCTCCCAGATCCACAGGCTGCTGTACCTCTAGCAGGTCCCCCGTACGGCCTGCAAGAGCCCACGGCCCCCATTCAAAAGGTGCTAGGCTCTGTCTACCCCGAGAACCTCCCACGGGGCCGTCAGCACCATCCGCACCTTTGACAGGAGACCCGGCTCCTGGTTCTCCGTGGTACAGTACCACTCGCTCGTCCACCTCCAGCACCTCCTCGTACAGAACCTCTGGCATGGGCACAGCCTGAGGGCAGGCGGGGGTTCAGAAGAGAGCCAGGCCCGGGGGTTCTGTGGGGTCCTGAGTGGGTGGGGCAGTGCGGGCAAGGGGGTGTGTCCCAGAAAGTGAGGAGACAGCCAAAACGGCTCAGCAAGGCCCATCCAGGAGGCTTCTCTCTACACCCAGGCACTTAAGTGGGGTGAAACCAACCACCCCACCCCCAGAGGGCAGCTGTTCCCAGGAATCCAAAGGTGAAATCTCCAACCCTTCACCCTGACCAGTGCCGGCTTGGACTGGCAGAGTACCACACGCCTGCTTGGAAGGTCTGGGGACACGGAGTCCTACTAGCAGGGCTCAGTCTCCTTTATGCCTATCATCTAGTGGACTTAACCACCATTGCTCCAGAGCCATCCCCACAAGGCCTTGGCCGAGACAGGGAGAGGAATGCACAAGTTCACCTAACACCCAGCTGGCATGGGAGAGCTCACCAGGTCAAAGAGATCCGGCCGGGCCTGGGTGCCGATATGCAGCAGGTCTCGGAATCCCCTCGTCACGAGCAGCGCCACCCGCTCCCCACGTCGTTCCAACAGTGCATTGGTGGCCACTGTGGTACCCATGCGGATGCTGGCAATGCGACTGGTGTCCAGTGGTCGGTCCCGAGGCAGCGACACACCTCCCTCCTGGGGACCACGCAGTCAGTGTGAGACCTCAGGCTGGGGGTCTCCCTCACCCCCCCCCACCTTCGAGAGCCCTGGCCCACCTGCTCCAGGATGCGGCGGATGCCCTCTGTGGGCGCGTCTGCATAGTTGGCAGGATCCTCTGAGAGCAGCTTCAGGACACGCACATGCCCTCCTGGGCACTGGGCAAAGACATCTGTGAAGGTGCCACCGCGGTCGATGGCAAAATGGAATCGCCCTTCTGGGCTGCCCATGGTGGTGGGTCTGGAGTCCAGCAGTATCTCTTCAGCTGGTACCCCTGGGAGAACTGGACAGAAGAGCCTGTCATTAGGGGGGTAGGCAGACTGGGGTTATGCCTGAGGGGGCCTGGTTTCTAAGCAGAGGCTGGGATGGGAAGGAGGTGGATTCCAATTCTAGGAGGTGCCCTGGGGAAGAACCAAAGAATAGCTCTGGGTCTGGTAGGAGCTGCAGGACCGGGTCACAGGGTGGCCTGAGTGAAGTCAGAGCCAGGCAAGGCCATCTGCCAGCCCAGCGTCCCCAGAGCACAGGTCTGAGAGTCCTGGTGCCAACGGAAGCCAGGACCTGGAGAAGGGACAGAAGGGCCGCCGGACCCTGGAGCCCTTTAATGCTGGCGGAGCCTGGGTTCTTTCCGCAAGAAAAGGCACCTGAGTTGGAGTACGCAGGTAAGAAATAGCTCCACTTCCCGCTTTGCTCAAGCTTCGGGCCAAGGCCTTAGGACCGCAGGAACCCTACAGAACCGGTACAACGATGGGGGCGAGGCTAAAGCCGGGGAGACAGGAGATTAGGAGCAGCAGAGCCCAGAGAGGGAAGGAGGAAAGGCAAGCGCGGAGTAGGTAAGGACTTCGGCACGGACCCCAACCTGCGCAATCGGCTGGGCTCGGAGTCTCCCTTGCGTTCTCCCACTGCGCTTCCCGCAGGTCCTGCCCCACCTCGGGGAGGGGCCTGTAGACCCGGACCCCCACCCCCAGCGCACACACACAAGTCTGGCGGGCCGGGCCCTCCGGGCTAGGGTTACGTAAGTGCCGGCCGGGCCTGAGCGCCTCCTCCTTTGCCCGGAGCGATCCATGGATTTAGTGGCTGAGTGGCCCTGCCAGAGAGGGCGGACTCAGCGCTTTGGCTCAAGGGCACCTTGGTTGTGGGAGCTGCTGTACCTCTCTCCATGTTCTGGTTCGCCGCGCGTGGGCTCCCTTAACACCCACCTCCAGGTCTCTATGTAACTGGTTGCGCCCGAAAGTAACAATATTTCTGAAGTACTCAGACTGTTCCCCGGCGTGGGAGGACCCGAGGCAGGAGATGGGGTGGGTGGAAAGGACCCGGCAAGGAACAATGGGAGATAGGAGGATCTAGGAGGGCCCTCCTGCCTCCGGGAAAATCCTCTTATTTCAGCATGTGAAGGGCCACCAGAGGCACACAACCCATAGTCAACGCCCCAGGTAAAAATGGCTCAGTACACCTCAATCTGACGTCTCTCCTGTAGTGAGACCAACGCGCAGCTGGAACTGGTGTTTCCCCTCTCCACGACCACAGGATGGCTTCTCCCCGACCTCTCCTCTCCTCTGGGTCTAGCCAGCCCTCAAGTGGGCCTAACTCTCAGGAGAAGACGTGCACAGACAGAGGCCAGGACAACCAGAGCTTTCAGGCAAGGAGGGCCAGGGTTGTTTTTTTTGTTCTTTCGTGGGGTTTTAGCCCCAGGAAAGCAGATCCTTCTCACTAGGCCAGCATCTCTATACTTTCTAAGACAGATTTAAGGGAACCTCAATTGTGCTGGCTGGCTGGCAGCCCCGGGGCCTCTTCTGCAGGCAGGGCAGAGGCTCTGGATTCCAGGGCAGGTGGAAACCATCAACCATGTGTGGTGATGCTGCTGCCCTACAAAGGTGACCCCTGAGGAGCAGCTAGCTTCTAGGGCCGTGGGAAATCAGTTGAACCCACAGACCTTATCAACATGCTAGGCTGGGATACCAGACAGGCTTAGGGCACACACCCAAGCCCCCCAAACTGCTGTGTGCTAGGAGGCTAGGGTATAAGTGAACTGACTATGTATTTGGATCGCAGGCTCCGGGCCTCACTCCACACTTCAGGCACTGCCTGGTGCCCTCCGGCATTCAAAACCTGCTCTCACATCCCTTTCTCATTTTGTGGATGCCCAATCTGCCAGAAGTCCTTTTACTTCAACTTTCAAAACAAATCCAGAGTACGTAAGGCCTGTGGTGCAGGCCTGAATCCCAGCATGGCTTAGTTTGACTTTTATTTCAAAACAAAAAATAAAGATGGCTGAGGGGTAGCTCAGTGGTAGAACGCTTGCTTAGTGTACAAGAGGTTCTGAGTTCTATTCCTAATATGGATAGAAAAAGTGTGTGTGTGTGTGTGTGTGTGTGTGTGTGAGAGAGAGAGAGAGAGAGAGAGAGAGAGAGAGAGAGAGAGAGAGAGAGAGAAAGCACACCCAGAACCAGAAGACAGCCTTCCCTCAAGCTCTGCCTTGCAAGAACTTTCTGGTACCCTCTTTCCTCTGCATCAACCTCAGCCGACTGGCTGCCACCTTAGGGCATTTGCACTAATGGTTGGTTCCCTTAGCTTGGAAAGCTGTCCTCTGCTGCTGGCAGCAGGACTATATCCTAAGAACTCAGCTGGTTATGGCAAAGTCACTACCTGGAGGGATCAGGGAATTCCTCCAGAGGAAGCCAAATTCCAAGGAGTTTTTGGTGTTACTTGGCTTGTTATATATCAGCTGTATTCTGTTATGAAAATCATGTGTGCCTTCATAGTTTTTCCAATTGACTTTC